TGTGTGTGTGTGTGTGTGTGTGTGTGTGTGTGTGTGTGTGTGTGTGTGTGTGTGTGTGTTTGTTTGTGCGGCTGCTTTTGTGGCCATCATCCCACTCTCGGTTCATATAAATGCTTACCAATATGGCAAGAGTCTGCTGATTTATATTGGCCGCTCTTAGATTGAGTAGTCTTAGAAGCATGCGTGGCCATCCCAATTACTGGCCGGCTCATTACTCTTAAAGGGATAATTTGGTTTTGACTGAACCTTCCTATTATTATCCTGTACACCACATATCCTGCATGGATATAAACAGAGATTAACCTAGCTTAGCCAAATGTCTGGGATGTAGGTGGGAGAGAATACAAATACTTGGTAGGCTAGGGAAAATATTTCAACTAGCAAACAATTAAAATGTTTACATTATGTATTGAGCTGTTTTTGCCCCTCCTTACATGGGTGTGGATGCATGTAAACAGGAAGGTGAAACAGATGATTAAATGCTGTTCTACTTGCATCTTCAATACACCTGCAACTTTGTGAATATGTATACATTGATTGATTGACTGTTTGAGTTTGGATGCTACTGATCACTTAGCCATCCACTGACTGTGCTATATACTGTATAATAACATTGATATAGAAATATATAGAAGGATAATGCAGACAGACAATTCAAGCTTATTGAACATAAAACGTGTATATTTATTTTGTTAGACCATTCTAAACTGAACTGTCCGATCTTAAGGAACAATCATGGTTCCATTATAATTTTTTTGCTGTTCAAACATGCCACATTCACTCAAACATAAACAATAATTATGCTAGGTGTTTGTATTATTACTTCACTCGATTGTCTTATTTTCTATTTTTCCTGTGCTTAATGCATTGTTTGTGTTTTTTTATTCAGTCAATATATAACAAAGATACAGTAGTACAATTTCTTTTTTCTTTTGCAGATGAAAATGGTGGCAATAGTGTGAGTTCATTATCTGAAAGAGCGACACTGCCTGGGCATGCAGAGGTAAGTTCCTGTGTGTTTGTTGGTGTGTCAATACGCTTGCAAATCGCTCATTTGATATCAAGGGAAACACATTGCAAACATGTTAAATATTGTTTGTATAATCAGTACAATGACTGATTGTTTCTCAACCTTTTTCCTGTCTTTGTGCTGAAGAACACTACTTGCTTGTTGTAGCTTTATATTTCATGTATTAACTAAATAGCAGTATACAACTCTCTGCAATAAAGTGAATATATAATTCCCCAAATTGTTCCTTGGATTATTACATTCTTGAATTATTATTTTTCTGCTACAATCTGATAAACAGTCTTGTGTAAGATTACAGGCAGCAGTTTTAGAAATGTTGTTATATTTTCAAAGCTTGTGTTTCTTTGTAGGCACAATATTGCTTATCCCAGTGTTTATGTTTATGACTGACCCTTTGTTGACTCTCTGCTCTCATCGCTGAGTCACAAGACCTTTGTCTCTCACAAAAGCTGCTCTCATGTCTCGAACAGTGTGACAGAAATAAACTTCACTGCCCAAACAGCAGCCTGTGGTCAGTCTGGTGGGCCCTCAGCGATACACTCAACCCAACAAGCAGATACTTTATCCTTCTTAATTAATAACACTGATTATATTGTGTTTCTGTGATGTATGAGACTATAATTTACTGCATAATGTCTCAGTGATAATCAATCAAACACGTATTTCTTAAATGTTCTCATTAGGTCACAACATGATTGAATAAACTATAAGGGGCAGCGTTCACGCCCTTGCTACAGGGTCAGTGTGGATGTGAGGGCCTGATAAATAAGCTGGGTTGGGTTCAGAAAACTGCTGACCACACGTGGTACTCCATGCTGTGGTTAACCCTTCATGGTGTAGATATATAAAATCTGATCTACAGTACGTCCCACTCTGAAGAATATTTGTCCATTCTTGTAATTTGCTCATTTCCAGGAAGAGTGCTGTTTTTTAATGACAAGTAACGTTGCTAGAAATATCTAGCATTGAAGTAAAACATAATATTTGATTTTGAACATTACCAGTACATTCCTCCTCCCGAATAAACTATTTTTGTATAATGTCAGGCTGTGATTGTACCAGGTCCATAAATGTCTGTTTTATGTGGTTCCTCTGCAGCCATTGTGGCCTCCCTCTAAACTTTTCTCCCAAAGAAAACAACAGTCTCTTGAAATACTTTTCAATACCATCCCATGCACTGGAGTCACCAGCCTAATATAACTGAAATAACATGTTAATATGACATGATTTTGGGCACAATATGCCTTGCCCTCTCTATATAGTAATATAAATCACTTAGTGTTAAAGTCTGAGCTCTTTATGTCTGTCATTGAGATTACAACAGTTTCATTTCTTGCCTTGTCAGCACCTCAAGTATTGCATTATTATGATTGTCTGTTTGCTTTCGCTTCCCACTCTGCGGGAAAGATAAAATATGATTATGTGTCTGTTTTTTTAGACAGAAAAGTTGCAACCAAACAAGGACACTGTGTTCTTCAGGGATGGGGTACGGAGAATAGACTATGTGTTGTCTTATGTGGATGATAAAGATGGAGAAAAGAAACAGGTAAGTGGAACAGACTACGACTTATCAGCATTTTTACAGTGAGTGAATAAATGTGATATTGTCAATCTTACACAGTATATATCCAGAACGGGAACACATGAAGCTGAAAAAAAAAAAGGAAGTGAGATTCCAAAGACAGACGTCATTTGTGGCCGCCAGTGTATGAGTAAAATAGCTTGTGAGCACAAACTTAAAGTATCCTACAGTATTTCACCATATAATGAGAGATACAGAATATGGAAGGAAGGAAATCAGGACCAAAAAAACGTAATTCAGTTAGCAACTCAATACGTGAATCCAGTTTCCTTATAACTGCGCTAATTAATTTTTGCTAATTACGTTGCTTTATTATGTTATTTATAATCACTGATTTAATGGTTGTCCGGTTTCCACAATGGCTTCCATAGACTGACTTGTCTTTTACATTTATTAGAAGTGTGTTTATTTTTTGCAGAGCCTTCATGTATAAGGCGGAGGACTGTTCGATTTGTTAAGCATGTTCTAGCTATCATCATCATCACCACTCTGAAAAGGTCATAGAACAGAGAATTCATTAGTAAAAGTCTTGAATGACTGATGTAGGCAACGTTTTCTCTTGGTGCTCCTCAATCAAAGTGTCACATTTTCAACCTTCTTTTATCCAGAGAGATTTCACTAAGAGCAGCTCCTCCTTTCTCAGGCTCACACTCACACATTCACAAACACTGAAGATCACACTGTGCTCATAGGTTAAGTTTAGATTGTATCTCTGAAAAGACAGCTCTGGGTTTCACTGGTTTAAAACTGAGGTAAAGCTCAAAGATCTAAAATGCAGCTTCTGAAACATTTTTAACCTCGACTTAAAGTAGCCATTAGCTTTGCTTTTAATAATGGTCCAGGGACGTTATGTATTTATTTATATTACAATGTTAGCCTGTTAATGCAGTTTAATGTTTGCCATACTTTTTGTTTAAATGCGGTTCAAATATGTATATACAGTATATATATATATATGTTTTTTGTGTGACTTAAAAGCACTGCAATGCAGGAAACCTGTTTTACTTATATTATTTTCACTGTGTGATCATGTGGCCAGTCGACATTTTTACCAGGGTCACATGTTTACCACAGTACCAGACTTTTGGAAAACTGGTCAGGGCTATATCTAAAACATCAATATGATCCCTGCTGCCCACACAGTATTAAGCTTGGTCAGTTATATTGGTGTGCTCCCCCTGTTTCCACTGATAGAGGCATTTACTGTCCCCTAAACTTCTTTTGTGACAGGCAGGCCCCCCTTTTGACCAATCAGTTACCAGGCAAAGAGAAATACATCAGACTCTGTTAATTTGCTCTTGTATGGGTGTGTAGATGTCACAACAATCATAGACTGTGAGACTTTGTCTGTGTGGCTCTAACGCTGTGTTGTCTGTGTGTTCATCCACAGGAGAGGAGGAGGGAGTTTGAGGCCAACCTTGAGAAACAAGGTCTGGAGCTGGAGACTGAAGACAAATCAGTAAGAAATTCAACCACAGAGTAACAGCACCACCTAGTAGAGAGCTTGCAGAGGCACACCATGTTATACAGAAAGAGTCTTAAAGGGATGGCTCAGTATTAGACACATAATACAACCAAGTACTGACAAATTAAGTATTGTTCCTCTCCTCCATCTGTCCTTCTATCAGGACTCCAAGGACCAAAAGACATATTTCCTGAAGATCCATGCTCCATGGGAAGTACTGGCGACCTACGCTGATGTCTTAAAGATTAAAGTTCCCTTCAAATTGAGTGATATCCCCCATGGTCATGATGTCCCCCTGGAGTGGCTCTCGCATCCTTTCCGTCTGCCAGATCACATCATGCGCCCACAACCGGACTACTTTACCTACTCCTTCGACAAGAACAAGACCGACTTCTTCCTTATCAATGACAAGGATACCTTCTTCCCACCTTCCACAAGAAACAGAATCGTGAGTGTTTAATTTATAAATATGAAAAAACGCTTTAACATCTCACACTTATTCTGGACAGGCTGACCCTAGGAGGCTATGAAGAGGTGTTTGCCTGTTTTTAGCTTTTACTGTTTATTTAGAAAATGTATATCATTTGTTGAATCCTGTCCTTGTTGAAAGGTGTTCTACATCCTGGCTCGTTGCCCGTACTACAAAGAGGGTCGGAAAGAAAGAGACAAGACGGGAATCAAACGACTACTCAGCAATGGGACGTATACGGCAGCCTTTCCTCTTCATGATGTAAGACACTAAGAAAAATCCTACACATGCAGAGTTTACACATACTGTATCAATGTACATTTATGTTAGCATCTCTATTCTGTGAGATTTGTAAAGGGAGACCCTTGTGTCCATCTACTTTAATGTAAGATTCCACACGCATTATTTTTGAAATAATGTATAAGTAACCCACAACCATATTTAAAGGGGACCTATCATTCAAAATGCACTTTGTGATGTCTTTTATACATAAATATGTGTCCCCGGTGCGTCGGGGAACTCACGCAGCGTCAGAAAATAAAACCCTCTCTCTTTTCCTCCGTACCCAAATCTTTTAAAAACGGGTGTACAACGAGCGGATACAGATTTCCATCCGCTGTGACGTTTTCCATCCGCTGTGACGTTTTCCATCCGCTGTGACGTCGGCTGACCCACAGAAAGTTGCTATCAGAAACAATGCCTGACGTGTTTTGGACGTAATCTCATCTTTGTTTGCATTAGCAAGCCTCGCCAACACTCAGAGCTAACCTGTACTGTGTAGAGCACATGTGTTTAAAAACAGGAAATAAAAAAAGAACTCACCTTGTGGTAAACCTGCAAGAGAAAAAACATTTGAGCTCCATACTGTTTCAGAAATAATCCTTGACGTGGTTTAAACAGGATGGCGTTTTATCACAACCAAATTTAACTTTATTTCCAGTAGAATTCTGATCAGGCATTAGCTCCGCCTCCTCTTTCTTTTCTTTTCTGTTTGGTATTTTGAAAAAAAAACTTCACAGACATGTTTTGTATAGGTATGGCCCTACAATATATTTTTCAAATATAGCATGATAGGTCCACTTTAAGTAGCCTACTTATAAGTTATACTTCCTGGACCGGAAACAACTATTTTAACACATTATAATTAAAGTCACTGACAGAATCAGTTCTGTAGCACATTCAATTGGTAATGCTACATTCTGATACATTAATTAATGATACAATTAAATTACATTAATGATACATTCACACAGTCTTCTAGTGTTGTGACTTCTATTTAATTATTCAATCTATTTGAAGTACATTTGTATAACTTGTTTGTGAATGTTCTCGTTCCAGGGCAGATATATATTAATCAGCATAGTTTGAACAGGACAACATTATTTTTTCATCATGTTTATTGTTTCTTGCTTATAATGTTATAGAATACAACGTTTTTTTTTCTTTTTCTTTTCGAAGAGAATATTCAAGTTCTTTCAAGGATTTCGTTCTTACATTTTCTAATAACTTTTACTCAAGAGCCCATATTGCATTGTTTCTTTTCTTTTCAGTGTCCATACTGGAAAAGGGCAAGAAATGCTGAATGCGAGAGTGAGCGTTACAACTTGTATAAACACTGGGCCCGGTTCCTCTGCTTTTACAAGGAGCAGCCTCTCAACCTCATCCGGTAAACAAGCAACACCTGAATGCTGCCATCTTTGGTTTTTTAACAAGATTGAACCTTTATTTTACTGAAGCGTGTTTAAAGTTATCTGCAGAGTTAAGTGTGTGGTTTTGGTTTTAGGAAGTACTATGGGGAGAAGATTGGGATCTACTTCGCCTGGCTGGGCTTCTACACAGAGATGCTGTTCTTTGCAGCTGTCATGGGCGTCATATGTTTCACCTATGGAGTGCTCAGTTATGATGACAACAGGTCAAGGTGAGATGATAACAATATGACCAAAAAGATATGACCAACTCAATATTAAACCCATCATTTGTATCATAATTGTTGACTACTTATTTGCTAAATCATCATTACAAAACCATTCAATTACTCTGCTGCTATTACTGCCTCCACCTTTCTGGGAACACTTTACACACGGTATGGAAACTGGCTGCTTGGATTTGCTCTCATTCATCCACAAGAGCACAAGTGAGGTTTATTGATGTTAAACAACAAGGCCTGAACAGTTCATCCCGAAATTGATGGCAGGTTGAAGTCTGGGCTCAATGGAGGCCAGTCAAGTTCTTTTAAACCAAACTTAGGATCTTTACATCTTGATGTACCTCACCGTGTGCACAGGGTATTATTTTGAAAGAGGAAATGGCCTTACCAGAAGTCTGGACACAAAGTTTAAGATGTAAGATTTAATCACATCTAGTGTCAAGCCTCAAACCAAAGGTACACATAAGTATTCAAATAAGGTATCAACATACTTTTGGCCATATCATATTCACTTTTATACTTACACATTTTGATATTCCAATGAAATGGTGGCCTGATCAATACTGGATGCTACATTGATATACTGATTTATATTTTCGCAAAAGATCTATTTTTTCTCTCCTTGTAGCAAAGAAATATGTGACCCCGACATTGGAGGCAGTATCGTGATGTGTCCACTTTGTGATAAAAAGTGCCCTTTCTGGAAGCTCAACTCTACATGTCTCTCATCCTGGGTAAAATGTTACACTTTATATGTTAAAGAACACCAATTTTAAAACAGCGATTAACCTTGAAGTGTATATTGCAAACATTATTTTAATACATTGGTCTTTTAAATGTACTCAGATATCTGCAGTAGATTATGTCCTGCTGGGTCAGCAGTATGTCACCCTGTTTATGCCAAGCATATCACTGAGAAACTCATTTTTCCATATTATCTCTTTCAGCAATCCCATCTGTTTGATAATGAGGGAACGGTATTCTTTGCCATATTTATGGGGATTTGGGGTAAGTGTTTCACTGCGTTTAACCTGTGAGGAGATCCCATTTGTTCCCCTTCTGTGAGACAGATTTTCTCAGTCAAAGCTTGTTCGCCTCTACTACCTCTATCCATACTGCTTGAGCCCAGAACAAGATGCCAGCACAATTAGTTTGTTATGTGCTAAGCTGTTGGAAAGCTTACCCAGCACACTGAAGGCCAAATGGAAAACTGGCCTAATGAGGAGCAGTTAGCCAAGAAGTGTTTTCACAGTTGAAACATAAACATAAACTCTCCTAAAACTCAACACAGCCAATCTCTGTTTTTAGTCAGTGCAACATGATGCAGATCATAATGGATATGTTTACAAACATTTATGGAAACACTTGCAGAGCATCAGACTTCTCATTAAACTGCAAAATATATTTGTGAGAGGTGACAAACTGAGATCTTACCTTTTTGTTTCCTTCTTTCAAATCTATTTGGCAGTGACTCTGTTTTTGGAGTTCTGGAAACGGCGTCAAGCCCGTCTGGAGTACCAGTGGGACTTGGTGGACTTTGAAGAGGAGCAGCAACAGCTTCAAATCCGACCCGAGTTTGAGATCAGATGCACCAACAAGAGACTCAACAAGATCACTCAGGTGCTTGAAAGAAAACATGAAACATACTATGTACAACTGATTCCATGCTACTTATTTCTAACACAATGCCATTAATAACTGTGTAATATATACCTGGCTGCTAAATTCTAAGAACTGTTACAGGATTTGTATTTTGAAAAGTATTTTTTTTCACTTTAGTTTTTTTATTATATTTTTTATTATATCATAACTTAGTACTTTTTTTTTACATATTGCTCTCTGTGGCTCTTTCCTGCTGTAACGATGCAAATGTACCCTCTGTGGGACTAATAAAGGTATTCTGATTCTGAATAATAATCTTCCAGGAAATGGAGCCATATCTTCCTATCTCAAGCAAGTGTGCTCGTTTCTGTCTCTCCGCTGCCACCGTTATATTCTGGGTGAGTGATGATTAAGAGTCTTTATGTTGACTATAAAACATAACAATTGTCCCTTTCTAGTCTGACATACTGTCAACACCTTTACATGGTTGTCTTCTCCCCACAGATCTCTCTGATTGTGGCTTGTATAATCGGGGTCATAGCGTACAGATTGGCCGTTCATGCTGCCTTCGCGAGTATCATTAAAGACCCCATGAGAAAGATCCAGGTGGTGGGCAGGTTCATCACTCCACAGCTCGCCACTTCTGTCACTGCCTCCTGCATCAACTTTGTCATCATCATGATCCTCAACTTCTTTTATGAGAGGGTGGCCGTCTGGATCACTGACATGGGTAAATAGATTTGATCTGACATTTCCAGAATCAACAGAAGCGAACAATAGAGTCATAATTTTGTCTTTACTTACACTGATCTACTATCTGCAGAAATCCCAAAGACCCACCTGGAGTATGAGAACAGGTTGACCATGAAGATGTTCCTCTTCCAGTTTGTCAACTACTACTCATCGTGCTTCTACGTGGCCTTCTTCAAAGGCAAATTTGTCGGTTATCCTGGTGACTACTCATATATGTTCGGCAAATGGAGCAAACTAAGGAATGAGGAGGTAGGTTTTACTGCCTCTGATAAAACATTACTTTTGTTATTACTAGTTAAAAAATATGACTTTGTATACTTAACATTTGGAGTTTGCAGTTAAGGCAGTATTGACTTACATTAGCATTATGTGTATATACAAAGTCTACTTTTAAGTCATTTCTATGAATTGTCTTTTCATTCAATTTATTTTGATCTTGATTATTATGTGTATATTGACAATGTAAAGCACTTTAAATTGCCTTTGTGTCTTATATGTGCTATATAAATAAACTAACCATAACCTTAACCTTACCATTCACATGTCTTTACCTGTGAGGAAAGCTTCATAATCTAGTCCTGCCAACAGAAAGTGCATCAATAAGTGTGTCATGTAAACTGAAACCTCTTTCTGTCCCAGTGTGACCCCGGAGGCTGTCTGATTGAGCTCACCACACAGCTGGTCATTGTTATGGCTGGAAAACAACTGTGGGGGAACATTCAGGAAGCTCTGCTGCCGTGAGTCCTCCACCCAGTCTTTCACCTCTTAACTTTTCACCTCAATCACTTATTCACTGCAAAAATAGCAACTAGCCACAACAAGAGAATAGCTTTCAATGAAGGTTTTATTTAACAGCGTATTTTTGTTTATTTCGAGTGCATTCATTTTATAAATGTTTTAACAAGATCAATGTTTTGAGTGCTAAGAAAAAAATCAATATAAGTTCTGCTTTGCAGCTTGCCCACTTCAGATGCACACATCCACATATGTAAACAAAAGTGTTTTACCTCTGAATGGCATGGTATTGATTCTCTACCTAAAAACCATTTATAAAACCTGCTGAGAAGCTATCAAAAACCTTATAGGGAAACTTTATAACAACCGGTTACTATGCACATAAATTAATTGCAGACTTCTGCAACTACAAATATTATTGTTCCTGTGCTGATTTGTCTGAAAATGTCTTGTTGGCAACAGAAAGTCTCAGCAGTTTGACGTATGTTTATCTTCATGTGCTTCTCAACAGGCTGATGCGTAACTGGTGGAGTAACAGAAAAGGACGGCACCATCCTGAGACCCATTCCAGTCGCTGGGAGCAGGACCACGGGCTGCTGAACTTCAGCCAGCTTGGATTGTTTTATGAGTACCTGGAGATGGGTGAGATACTTCTCTGACGTTGATTACATTACAGATATCATATCTGGACAGAAGAGCCAGATTAATGTGTGCTGTCTTCTTGCCATCCTGTTATTACTCTTCCCTGTTTACCACCTCTAACTCTCTCTCTGCTCTGCCTGTTTTTTTCAGTGATCCAGTTTGGTTTCATCACTTTGTTTGTGGCCTCTTTTCCTCTGGCTCCGCTCCTGGCTCTGTGCAACAACATCCTGGAGATCAGGGTGGACTCCTGGAAGTTCACAACCCAGTTTAGACGACCGGTGGCGTCCAAGGCCCGAAACATTGGAGCGTGGCAGGAAATCCTCAACGCAGTGGCCATTCTGTCTGTTGTTACCAATGTAGGTGTTGGGCATGTAGCAGCGTATGTTTATCAGACAAAATGTTCACCATTCAATGTGTTTTTTGTCTAATCTGTAAAATGTGTTGAAGGATTTCAGAAGTAAAATATCCATAAAAACAAAAAATGTCACTTTTAACCGAAAGCCTTTTGTCCTTTCTGTCCCAGGCTTTCATCATGGCGTTTACTTCCGACATGATCCCCCGTATGGTCTTCCTGTATGCCTATGGTAAAGATGCCAGCATGAGTGGCTACGTTAACAACAGCCTGTCAATATACAACATCTCTCAGATACCCGATGACAACATGCCTGAGGAGGGAGGCAACTGGTTTGATAACACGACTTCCACCTGCAGGTAATAGAGCTAAAAGAGCTTGTTGTGCATCTGGCTGTAATTTACTTTCAGTAGAGCTTTAGCCTCTGTATTCCCCCCTGAGCAATATGGAGCTTTTTATTCTTTCAACTCATTGATTTGGGTTTAAAGCCTGCCAGACTTTTGTTTTGATTTGGTTTCACAGCGTTTTTTTCTCCTGCTGCATTAGGCAATTGTTGTCACTGAAAATGGTTTGACAAATCCGCTATACGCTATGATAAACAAACAGACAGAAATTGTTAGTCACTATATGGTGAGTCAAATATTTTCCTCAGATCTTGAAAGTGAGTGAATATTAGACCAAAAATTTGAGTCACACTATTCCAAATAAATAGCGGGGCTCTGTGTTTGTGTATAGATCAGCAATTATTTGCTAACTGCAAGCCATATTAACTTCATATTGACAGGTATGAACAAATATGTTTTGCTTTAGTCCAAGAAAATGTGTTTATATCTGTTGATGGAGCCATAAGTTACGTTTTTGAGTTTTTCGGCATTTATTGATATGTACTGGTACCAGCATGATTACATTAATGAAACACTATCGACTGAATAATGTTGTTTTGAACAGGTACCGTGACTACCGTTACCCTCCAGGCCACGCGAGGGAATACACTCACACCATGCAGTTTTGGCATATCCTAGCAGCCAAAATGGCCTTTATTATTATAATGGAGGTAAGACAACACAGCTTTTTCTCACTCCTTACTTGCAAAATAAATGCTCATATCAGATGCTAATCTGACAGTGTGATAATTCTCCTTCTTTAGCACGTCGTCTTTGTGGTGAAGTTCTTCGTGGCGTGGATGATCCCGGACGTCCCGTCAGTTGTGAAGGCTCGGTTCAAACGAGAGCACTACCTGATTCACGAATACATGCATAACTACGAGGTGGAGAAGGTCAAAATCCAGATGAGTGCCAGTTTCATGACAGAGCAACCATCAGAAGTATCCTCAATGACAGACAAACAAGAAGTGTTGTCTGAGTGCCTGGAGCCTCCTTCCTGAAAACTACTAACTAACCAAGCCGAGAATGGACACGTGTGAGAGTCTTCTCCTCACTGACAGCATCCATATACACAGATTCTGTCTTTGGGATAAAAATGATATTATCTTTTCTTGCTGGATGGACTCCTATATTAGGATCTGTGTAAAGGCATCAGAAATTCAAATGCAACATCTCACTTTGCTTAAAATTAGCCACCCGAGCGGCTGCAACACTCCTGTGCCATATAAAGAAGGTTTGAAAACAACAGAAGAAGGCTAAAAAAAAAAGTGTGAATTGTTGAAAATGTAAAATGAGTTATAATTACCCTTTAAAGAGATGGCTATCATATCATTAATTAAATGTTTTGCATGTGATTTCTCTTGTGAGGAAACAAGATTAAGGGCTTTTTAGAAAATATGTCAGTGTTAAGGAGTTTTAAAAACATCATATCATTTAAGGGATATATCCTAAACAGCACCTATCTTTAAGTCTTAACTGTATCGGCTTATAATAATTATTTTTAGTTTCGTTGCTGCATAATGTTTAGATCCACTGATCTATAGCTGGGCTATTAGATTTTTGAGGTAATTATGTTTATGCTCTTTCAAACTGTAAATTGGAAAACCAATTACCTCCATTATAGTGCAGTGATACTGTAACAATCAGAAGTGTGTATCATTCCAGCCTGAGTTGATAGCATAGTGAGACAACAGCTGCACGCTTATCTTCCAGATGTATTTCCAACTTGCTGCAGGACCAATTATACGATTTTTACAAAAAGAAAAGCCGACACATAGAAAATCTCATGACAGATTTTCTCTTTTAGTACAATCAGTCTATGTGTGAATGTTGACCGTGTGTTGGCTTTATGGCTCCAATTGTTATACATAGATAACAAATGGCCTATATTCCTGTTTAACATTATTTGTGTCTCCACATGTTTTTGGCATAACAAACCTTCAGAGATGATCAGACAGTTGGAGAACTTGGTTTGGTACAATGTAAGTGAGCATATCAGTAAAAGTTGATGACATTAGGTAACCTACTCTTTGGTGTTGCTGTAGATATAAAGAAAATATCATATATTTAAATTGGTTATTGAACAACTAATTTATTGATATGCTTCTGATTTGTAGTCTGAAGTTTTTGTATTAAGAAGAGTAACTTAATATCCTCTTTAAATTTGTATTCATCAAATCATAAATGGCCATCAACCATGTTAGTTCAGTCCGTTCTTCAAGTAACTTTTATGTAATACTACAAGGGACCAGGTGCATAAAAAACCCTCCAAAGAGATATATAACTAAACAGTATCTATTTATGAGATACAAGATCACTTCATTTATTCTTATTATTTCAGGTTTACCAGGTTTTTCTTTGTTTTATATTGAAACTTCTTTGTAACTTGACTTGCTACATGATGCAGTTGTAATTTCAGCCATCATCTATCATATTTGACATTTAAAAACCAAGTCTCATTTACTCGCATCTCAGGATCAATCATGAGCATCACTTACGTAAAACAGTATACGCAGATATCAGATGTGTGCAGAGCGTGATCCTGCAGCATAATGTATTTCCAAACAAACAAATGCCTTAAACCTCTGCTTACTCGTTTTTGTATGCTTCTGTAATGCCAAAGATTCCAATCTGAATTCAAAACCTGTTTCATGTAAGTCATCATTGCAAAGTTGCTGTTTTGTCTAATTTGATGTGCATGAATTGCTGGAAATGTTTGTCAATTATATTCTAATTTCACTGTAGCCTATTGTACAATTAATATTCACGATACATAAATAAAAAAGTAATTATAGTATGAGTTTTATTCGCACATTGCATTAATACCAACAGTAAACAGGACAACATATGTTCTATTGGATGCTTATACCATGGAGCTTATCAGAATCAGAATACCTTTATTAGTCCCACGGAGGGGAAATTTGCGTCAATTTAAGGATCCTCACCCAAGACATAAAAACATTATTCTTAAGTTTAAATTAATTTAAACCCTGTTGAGGTCGGTGGGTCTGTATTAATTTTCCTCTGACTCTTAATCAGACCTACTAATTGACCTATCAAAAGCTTTTGAGTCTATGCAAGTTTACCGCCAGGCTCGGATCCACCTGGATCGGCAAGGTCTTACCTCTACTAATCTATATATTTTTGGGTATCTATAGATACCTATATTTGGGCGTGGCCCTACCTAAGTGCTTGTGTTTGTGGCAGTCGTGCAATCTTACCTTAAAGCAACAGAGGAGAGCTCATAATTATTTTAGGTTACCCCAATCCAAATGGGAGGGGGGGGGGTGAAACCCCCTATAAAGACCCCTGCGTCAAAACTCCCTGCATGTCTTCAGAGGAATTTCCTCATGATGAAAGTGGGCAAATAAGATCTAGGGAGAGATTCCCATTTAAGACCCCCAAGACCTTTTTTCCTCTCTCAGCTACTGGTTTTTATAACCTACCAACAGAAGCCAAAGCGAGTACACACCAACATACCCATATATGTGGGGAGGTGTCATTGCTTCTGGGTGTGAGACTGGACTGGTCCAGACCTGCCTTGAAATCTAAACTGAAGCTTAAAGTGGACCTATCATGCTATGTTTGAATAATATAGTGTTGGACCATACCTATATAAGGCATATTTATACTTTTCATTTTTCAAAATACCAAACAGATCATGCATTTTAGCCATTCCTCATTTCGCTCAATTTAACACTGCCTTTCATGCTCGGATTCAGTGAGAACAGCACCATCTGATGGCCTGAAATATGTACTACAGCGTCTCCAGCGCTTTGGAACGGCAATGTCCGTGGCTGTCTCCTCCTGATTGGTGGAGTTGGCCCAATAGCCGTAGCGCAACTTCTGTGACGACATAAAAGTGTTCAAATCTGGATCAGTCTGTATCAGATACGTTGCAGCCCCTTTTTTAGAGATTTGGGTATGGAGGAAAATAGAGAGGGTTGTGTTTTCTGACACTTGGTGAGTTCCCTGCGGGGACACATATTCATGTATAAAAGACGTACAAAATTGCATTTTGCATGGTAGGTCACCTTTAAAGTAATTTCCCATTGAGTCAGGGGCCTCTGTTTGCAGGCTGTTGTAGAATAAGGGTGTCTTCCCTCTGCTAAATAGTGACACATATAGTGATAACATATAACTCTTTCAAGTCAGTTTAACAAACAGTGTACATTTGGTATATAAGTATAGAGCTTTATGAAATATAATGCAATTTACATTGTGGATTATACTAAATTATATTTGATTATATTAACTTGTGTTTTAATTATATAACCCAATATGGAAACTTCCACAACCCCTAGCCACTTCGATTAAGTCAAACACAAATCTCCACTTAGTTTTACTTACAACTTGTTGTTTTGAGGTAATCGGTTTGCCTTCTTATTTTAGGTATGGTAAACTAATAAGAATTTATTGTGTGCTTAAAAGAAGACTGTCTTCATCTTCACTGTAAAATCAAATCTAAGTGTTTAATAATGTTTGTCAAATTGCATGTAGCCGGTGCTACTGTTTTCTGGATTAGCTGTCAGATCATTTATTCACGTGGCTGGGCCGTCACTGCCCCTTTAATACACCCCCCCTTATTTAGTCAGCTGGCCCTTCCATATAAGGAAAATGCCGCAGCTGTACTAGTTCAGCATCTCCCATACACTTTAAATGCCCACTCACACCTCACCTAAATCAGCTGTGACTATTACGAGTGTTCTTGTTCCGGTCATCGTTGTCTGGCTGATAGGCGTGTATTCCCCCTTTTACTATCGCAGCCCCCCGCCCCCCCTCCCCGGTGGGGCAGGTCACATTTTGGCGTTGTCGGCAGGATGGTGTAAAGCAGCGACGTGTG